TTCTCAGCCTAAGGTAATTAAGACATCAAACCAGTTAGATTTGAATCCCTTCCATTCCCGCTGAGAATCAATATGGTGGAAACATTGTTTTGCCTTGATTTAACCTGCATTCAAGTTTAGTAGACGTCGAATAGCAAAATCTTACTTATATGATGCTGTCAAACGCACCGCTAAAATTTCAATGACTTGACTCTATAAATCGCCAAATAGTTTCCTGGTACAAAAGGAACAGACGAGCTGCTTTTAACCTTTTATAAGATCCCTTCATGGGCTTGAATGATAATAATGCACCCATAGTTCACGGACTAGGAAAGTGTCGAGAAAAAGCTTGGACATTTTTGGCGCGTCAAGGGACATAAAGGAATCCAACGGCATATTAACAAATGTGGCGAGAGGGAAAGAAGAAGAAGAAGAAGAAGAAGAAGAAGAAGAAAAGAATCTTTAATCTAAATGTTCTAGTTACATATCGATCGACTGCCTTGTAATTCCATTAATAAGTTCCCCAACGATCTTTTGAGGAATTTGGTTCTCTAYTGGAGGGSTGGGTTAGAGATCATCATCATCCTCTTTTATCCGAGGAGCTATTGTCTTATCTTTATCATGTCTATCAAAAGTTAACATTCTATGGATTTCCTGAAAAATTAATATCATATAATTCAATCTCATGTTGATATTGCTCCTACTCTTATCTACGTTTCTTCATTATCTGACCTCTAACAGTACTGATTTCCTGGAACATAATTATCATATGATGGAACCCTCGGACGGACTGACGGAACGACGGACTGACGGAACGACGGACGGATGGACGGACTGAAAACAACTTATTAAAAATATCTGATCTGACATCTGAGATCTGACATGTAAAACCAAGTGGAATTGTTCCAACCAGAAATTAGCAGGTGAAACTAAAAAAAGCCTTTTTAATTATTTATTGAATATGGGATTTAACTGAGGTCGAACAGAATGAGGAGAAACAATTTCCCTTTGTCTCAATCTAATTATTGGTCACAACTTTCTGTAAGTAGYTATATCAAGTTTAAATTCCCACGACCTTAARTTGTTTTTAAATTGCTTTTCCCCATTAGGTTATTGYATMAGATTTCCCTAAATTAAAATGCCATTTTCAAGCACATGTTTCTAAACAACACACAAATACTTTTTGATGCCAGCTATAAACGAAGCGTTTTTTACCCATTCCTTTTGCCATAAAGAAAAATATATTAAAACAAAAAGAATTGATTGGGATTTGAATAAGATTTCGGGATCCCCGTGCTGTTTAAAAAATCTTTTATTCCATTTCCTTCCTTGTAAAGTTATTATAACGTTTTTTGTTTATGCTGGAATGCCTGTGAAATAATAATAATAATGATAAAATACAGGATCGGAAAAAAATGATACTGACATTTTATTAGCACCTAGCACTCTCCCATACTGGTACTGAGCGTTATTCAAGCAGAATAGGGGAATACTTCGGCTGGCTGTTGATATAAAAACATTAAACAGGGAAGACAATCTATAGAAAAAAGAACAAGTGTACTTTTTCTTGTAAATACCTGAAAGTGTCACTGGAGTACCTGCTCATAGATTCAAATTCAAAATATTTTGGTTGGCTCTAGTCATGTGTCTTCCATAATGTAAGGTTATAAAAAAGGCGAAAAAACCTTTTCACCAAGCTTGAACATCACAAGGGGTGGAACACTTGCATGAATGTAGACACTTCCAAGCTCATTGCATTTCTAATGCTGCCTCCCGGCCTCTTTAGCATTGAAAGTTTCAATTATGTGCAGCCAAAACAAATAGTTTTTTTATTATAGCACAGGAGGGACCTCTAGTTTCCCAGAATGCATTGCGAGTGAAATATGACATATAAACAGCTAAAATTAATACTTTCGAAATTGAAAAATCGATCGTACATAAGCAGAGTGTATATCTGCTTATAAATCATTTAAGAAATTTAAAGATATTCGTTAAAATACTAGAGTACTTTTAGAGTAATTTCAGGTTCTGTAATAATTATGGGTTCTTCAAATGCTAAAGCAACACCTTAGCATTAGTAATATTAGTGGTAGAAGTATCATTACAAAAATATTCACATAAACTGGTTAAAGCTAGAGAAAACMAAAATAAGATTGCAGAAGAAGGCACTTGAAAGGGTACTAGTGGACCCTCCTCTGGTCTTATAGCCAAAAAATAGGTTTCAGCCTTTCTGTTAAAATGTAATCTCTGTTTCAGCCGCTTCTTGCAAAAATTCAATACAGTTAGGTAAACAGTTCGCTAAATTACATAAAAATTTAACCTTTAACAAGTCTGATGCTCAACCAACTAAGCCTACCGATTGGCGGTTATACCAAGAGAAAATGAACTAAGGCAAGGAATCTCTAGTGTTGATGGTTAACCGGCCATACAGGCATCGTTTGATGCTATCAGTTTAGAATCACATTTACCATCGTTTGCTTTCTGCGTGCGCTCTAGGGTGTTTGCTAACCTATTTTGAAAAAGACAAGAAAACATGACCAAACATGAAGAGTTTTCATGATTGGGCACTGGGATTCCTTCGAATTTTCTTCGTTTATTTTCTGTTGTTGATATTTTATCAACCCTATCTCAGTTTTATCTTTTTTTTTTTAGGATTTAGAAGATGAACGGTTTTATGCTGAACTTCTGCCTTATCTTTTTTTTGATCGGTCTTCAGATGTATGATAAGTTTTCAGGTAAGGGTATAAGAATTTTTTTAATCGTAACAAGTTAACGTAATTGATATAGGAAATCGCGAGTAACATTCGTTATCAGAGACCGGGGTATGTGTGTTGGAACTGTAGAATCTTTTTTCAGTTACTGTACTTTTTTCCCATACATCAATCTACTATTGTGGGTACAGTGAACCATTGTGCCATTAGGAGGAAACAACGATCTGGGAACGAGAGTGACAACTTATGAATACCAATAGCATCCTTGTTTTTAATCTCAGGCTATTAATTACATACTAACCATCCATGCAAACAATCTGTTCTTCTTGAGTTCGCAGATACTAAGGTTGTACTCCTTTGTTTTGTAATCACGAACAAAATCAATCAATAGTTGAAGACATGAAGAAACGTCTCGTTTGATTTTCTCAGACACAATTAACCTATCTAAAATTAAAACCTAAGAGCTTAATTGACTTTTTTTAACAGTCTTCTAGTACGTCGTATTAATCATTCAAATGTTATATGGAAGAAAAAAAATGCTTTAAGCTCTATCCACGTTAGCAATTAATTAAATAAATAGTATCTTAATATCAAATCATTAAGATATGCCATACAAAGTTAATGCCACTTAATGTTTACACATTGTGTCCAACAGATGGGTTCAAGTGGATTTCACTACCTTCGCAGAGGACGAAAGTAGATGTTGGTTCTATCGTTCTCATCAGGTGGTATTACGAATGTAATGAATATGGTATCTCTAACATTCTTTACAACAATAAAGAGAAGTTCTATCGATACGGAAGTAAACACAATTATACAGCAACAAAAAATGTAGTTCCTCCTTTCTCTGTTATTGGTGGATCCAATGTGACAATTATCATCCCAGATGTTGACAGAGACAAGAATGGATCATATTGCTGCTTCGTTCATTGTGATGGTGTTAAAAATGAGACATGCACAACTCTAGTCATATATTTGATGACTTACATATCTCGAATTCATTGATCTACGTACCTCCTGCTTACTAATAACGTTGCTTCGTCAATCAAGTTAAACCATTTTTTTTTAATAGCATGAAACAGACATCGATTTCTGAGAATTGTAAATGCCAGCATGTACAATTGTTCTGAGCATGAACCAGACTATGGCTTTAAAATGCAATAGCATTTTGAGCCGTGGTAGATTTTTCGTTGGCTATCTAAGTGTCGTTTTTTTTGTGCTGTGCCTATGGGCACAGTACATTTGTTTTTGTTGAGTTAGGTATGATCGGAATTTAGTGTTACGAATGCCATTGGTGGACCTCGTCATGATTGACATTGGTGAAACACGAGGTGAAAATGCATGTTGAGATCTGTAAGATCGGGACACGGAGGAGGTGAAA